GTTATTCCTAACATGTGATGTTGGGAACTTTTGCACATTGTTGGATTTATCTGAAAATGATTAGTCTTGCAAAGTCTAGACAAAGGTAAACAATTCGTAATATTTTTTTTTTCAGATATTTTTGGACCCTGTAGTGATTTGGCACTTGATTTTGTTAATAAAGGGGGTATTTACAGGGTGGCGTGGATTTGTAGTAAACTATTCTAGATCTCCTATTAGCAAACACTAAGTTTTAAAGTATTGCTTTTATATGATTATTAGCAAATAGAAGCCTCCGTACTTTCTGTGCATAAAGCCACCTTATTGCTTTACTTCAGGATAACACGCCAATTTTGTGTTCACTAACTGTAGCACAGCTATCAATTAAACACTGCAGAAAAGTATTCATTATACAACTAGAAAATAGGCTTCCAAAGATAGTTACAAGTGTGTTGAGTGTGATTTCATGTATTTCCCAAATAAATGAAGTTGCAGAACGCTGCCTAGTACTCAGATGCTGATATAAAATGTTTAGCAGGATATCGTGTCACTTCGTGAATGTTGTATACTTTCAAATAGCATTGTCTCATGGTGATCTTTTTGCATATTTTGTTTTGAAGGCAACCAGAGATTCCTAATATGCTAACAAGACTTTGTTTTCAGATTGGACTTTTGGTTGTGTGGTTTACTTTTATTTTTTTTCATTAAGCTACTGCATTAGGGGATATTAATAAATTGTATTTACTGACCTGCTTGCTTTAACTCCTTCCTCTCATTGAAGGTCAGGAAATTCAGATGAGAAGGGAAGCCACTTTCCCTCTTGCTTAAACAAGAAGAAATCATTTTATCAATCACTTGATATAGACTGACCAGATGCGTTCAGCTGTTCCAGAAAAGTAACGTAATTTTACACCAGAAACTGCAACTGTTGGATTCTGTTCTCTGATAATGGATAACATGTTGTGGCTGAAAATCTCATTAACTCAGTTTGTCATGTATTGATGCACTTAAGTAGAGTAATTGAATAGTTAAAAAAAAAAAAAAAAGGACTTTCATTGAATGTAAATAATTTTGCACCAGTGATACGGTTTAACTTTGGCTTTCAGTTCCTAAATTTTGCTGACATCAGGCTCATTTGTTTCTAAGTCTTTGAGGCTTAAAAATATGAAACACTGTAGTCGTTCTAGGCTTCTCAGCCTATGTAAAACTGGTAATTTGTGTGTGTAAGTTTGGAGTTTGTCAAGAAAGTTACATGCTTTTGACTTCAGTTGGCTGCATGCAAATAGTCTGATCCCAAAACAAGCCCTGAGTGTGTATCTGTTGTACTTTTGAGTTGTAAATCACAATTGCTCCTGAGTAGTATTTCACAAGGGCACAAGACTGTGTAATTACCAGCCAGTTGCAGGCTGG